CAGCACAGGGGATGACCAAGACTGCCGGACACAGCACAGGGATTGACCAGAGACTGCGGACCACAGCACAGGGGTTACCAGAAGACTGCGGACACAGTACAGGATTGACCAGAGACTGCGGACACAGTACAAGGGATACAGAGACTGCGGACACAGCACAGGGTGATGACCAGAGACTGCGGACACAGTAACAGGGGAACTGACCAGAGACTGCGGACACAGCACTACAGGGATGACCAGAGACTGCGGACACAGTACAGGGGCATGACCAGAGACTGCGGACACAGTACAGGGGATGACCAGAGACTGTGGACACAGTACAGGGGATGACCAGCAGAGACTGCGGACACAGTACAGGGGATGACCAGAGACTGCGGACACAGTACAGGGGATGACCAGAGACTGCGGACACAGTACAGGAGATGACCAGAGACTGCGGACACAGTAACAGGGGATGACCAGAGACTGCGGACACAGTACAGGGGATGACCAGAGACTGCGGACATACTACATCATATAAAGTCCCAACAGGGCCCCTCCACCCAGAATAAATCAAATGATCTGACACCATACACCAAGGAAAAGGACTACAACTCCCAGCATCTGTCATTTTAACTTACAGAAGGCAGGCTATAGAAGGCAGGGGGCGCACTGAGCTCCGAGGACAGGCCACACCAGCAGATAGGACCGACTGTAGAGCAGGGAGCACACTATGGACACATGCCAGGAAAGGGAGGCGCTGTAAGGACAGACCACACCCGCAGACCGGACTGCAGAGCTGGGAGCTCAGTACATAGACATGCCAGGAGCGGGGACGAGCTCCGAGGACAGGCCATGCCTGCAGGGCGGGACCGGACTGCAGAGCAAGCTGGCTGGGTTCGGCGAGGGGACTGCCTGCTATGAAGAGCTGCGGGGACAGCCCGCTGAGAGAGGGCAAGGTGAACTTTGGTGACAGCCTGCAGTGGGAGGGGACAGGCTGCACTGGGATGGGACAGCCGCTGGCACTAACACGGCGGCGGTGACAGGTGGAGGACTGGTCAGTATTCGCTCCATAAAGACGCAGAGACATTTTCCCCCATATTTTTTTTGGGAAAAAAGTGCGTCTTATGGAGCGAAAAATACGGTATATATATATATATTATATATACACACAAATACATATATATATATTACATACATACATACATATAATACATATACACACACCTCTCAAAAAATTGATCAATTCTGATGTACTGACAGCCCTAAAATGCCTTTTCTGGATAGTAGATAACCCCAAAGTAAGAGGCATGGTGAGTTTGTTGAAGTTGCAATTTTGTGTCAAATTTTTGTGGAAAATGAAGAAATGAAATTACTTCTTTTTTTTGTAACATATTCTGACCAGAGCAATAGTGACATCGTACTAGTTTTTTTCTTAGACTATGATTGCCTATAACAGTGATCACTACTGTTATAAGCAATAATTGTTATGAATGGCATCCATGCCATTGTGTACAATTGTGATCACATGGTACAGGTGCACTGTGTTTGGCCCTTTCTGTACCATGTAATCATTGTGACCGATCACAATGGAACACAATGAAAAGACTATGAATGAAAGCCATTATGTACATTTGGTCACAGTGATCACATTGTACGAAAAGGCTGGCCCGACACAACAATTTGTCATCAAGACCCAATGGGTGACAAATCGCAAGGCCCTAAGGCGCACGAGGTGCACGACTGGGAGGTTATATGATTTCCACCCAGGATAACAGTGCTCCTGCTCAGGTGTAAAGTCTTCTTTGCAGGGAGTCACACAACTGTAGTTTAATTTTTAATGATTGCTACTTTAAAAGAAAAATCACAGCCATTTCAGATATGCACAACATTTCAGATATGCACATTTTATCAAGCTGCAGTACAGCATTAATCCACTAGACTAGAGAACAAGTAGAGAGCAAAGGTCTACCTCAGTATAAACAGTAAAAAGTTGAACATCTTTACAATAAGATATTTTTAGAATTTCCCCAATGTTTTAATTGAAACTAAAATCAAGACACCACCATCTGAGAAACTCCAGTGGTCAACAAGGACCTGGCTAATGTTAAGATCTGAATATTACAAAGAAAATGGCACTTACCAGAATAATCATTGGCTATCCAAACAAATGAATTCTGGGATGTATTTAAAGGAGCTAGTTTCATGTCTTTCGATATAACGTGGTTTGCACACACTTTCAATACTTTGGTCCCGTCTCATCAATATGCGGTAATATTTTTTTCCTGATTGTAAAGGATTTTAATCTCGCCTACTCCTCGCTCCTTCCACTGATTGGTAGCTCTGTCCCAGCGGTAAAGCTTTGCTCTCTCTTTAAAAAGTATTTCCTCATCTTCTTCTCCTGACTTAACCTCCACCTAAAGATACAAAGATTCGTATTAGATTTCAGGTCTATGAGGAAGGATATACATGAACATATAATAATGCACACAAAGAATGAAAATATTCTATATTACATAAAAGAGAAAACACAGAAATTAGTGGAACATCAAGGTCAACAAAAATGCAATGACAAAGTCAAAGTAAACAATCACAAGACCATTAAAGGACATCAGCTACATGAGAGTCCTTGGTGGATAAAACATGACAGTTGATGGCTCAGGCCACAATGGCAATTGCCACTCAATTTGTACAATGGCTGTATGGAGTATATAGAATAGCCATGTGAGGTTCCTCTTTCCTAAGGAAAACACCACAATCATTTCAGATGATCTAAGGCAGTGTTTTTTCACCCTGGATTAGTGTCATGAGCAGCCAGCACCACTATAACCAATGATGCTCTAGGACCAGGACACATGGCATCATTTGATGCTTTGGCAACACATTATTCTGATCCAGGGCAGGCAGCATACAGGAACTCCCTAGGGCAGGTGGCATTCAGAAGTTCACCTCCTCCAGACCTTCCAATCTCTGTGGTGCTGCTGGAGCCAAAAAGTAGTGGTGTAAGGTAATGGGGGGACCTCTGACGTGACATTAATTTCAACATGGCGGTTATGTACATTGCCCCAGGTTTCCCACTGATGTGTAACATTTAAGTTTTTGCATTTAAGATTGGGATGCCTTGAGAATATGCATACTTTTAAAGGTTTCAGAACTGAAAAAAGGTTTGAAAAAAGGTTGATCTAAGGAATATACAAACTTGGCCATTCAGAAGAAAAATGCTGCCTGGTCTGATGAATTCCATCTCCAATGGCAGACAGTTTAAAAACTTTGTGAATGCAGCATACACCCATCCACCTTTGGCAGCTGTGAAGCATACCAATGCCAGTGTTGACTGTTCTTACATAACTTTCAATCCACTGAGTGTACACATCTGTAACTGTTCATTACCACTAAAAACAAGCACACTCCGTTCAGCAGATTGAAAATCAGTATGCTGCAGGAAGGGAAGGCGTAAAATGTCAGTCACAGGCAAATAATCTCCTACAAACAAAAATTACCTCAGGTAATGACACAATGGGCTCAAAGTGAACTTCATCACTGTGAACCACCTCATCATCGCTGTCACCTCCTTTTTCTGTCTTTCGTTTGCTGCCTTAGAGCTGAACACGGCAGCCCCAGTGTTATCCCACTGGAAGTTTGCATCTATGGGAATAATAAAGTTATATTTGTCAGCAAATGCAGACCATCAAAGCACCAGCATCTTTTATTAAAACTGTTTCCTGGTTAATATACCAGATAGTGGTTTGGACCAGTTTGCAAAAGCTTTCCATGTACACAGTTTAAAGAGTTTGTAAAGTTCATGCTGTTCCTTTTAAAATAATAAACATGGTATACTTACCTGCTCTGGGATATGGTACAGCATAGAGCAGCCCCGCTCGCCACTTTCTATTGTGGTTCACCTACGTGGGTTCAATCCTGAACTCCACTGCCTGAGTCTATATACAGACACAATCAACAAGGCTTGGCCTACCCCCCCCCCCCCCCCCACCTTGTCAAAGGACTTGACTGACAGCAGCGGGAGCCAATGGCTCCTGCTGCTCTCAGCAAAGCCTGTCAGAATGGGAAAAAGAGGACAGAGCCGCTGTTCTCCGTCACAGCGCTGGATCAAGCTCGAGTAAGCATAAGGGGGATGAGTGGGCAATACACATACTGAAATATTCTTACCTTATTCAGGGAATGCATTAAGGTAAAAATGTTTAGGCTTTACAACCTCTTTAAAAAGTGTCTCAGCAGTGTAGATAGTTTAGAAATGCAAGGTCTGTACAAGATAGAGAGCATTCTTCAAAACCTAACCTAAAAATAGAAAACACTAACATACCTTTAGATCCAAAGGCAAATTCCCCATTATCTGTTGTCAAGTCCGCAAATGAAAGTCCAGAGCCACCATTTAGGCCAAAGAAAATGCCGATTTCTGAAAACACAAGATAGTAGATTTATAAAATATGCCATTTTCACACAATTCACTCATGCGGAGCTGCCCACATCGGGGCTCATGAGTTACGCTGTGCTCTGTAGTCTGCAAAGTCTAGCAATGCTTGTTCAAGAATACCCCACCACTTAATAAAGTATATCTAAAAGGCAAACATTTTTTTGGTAAAGACCAGTTAAAACCCTAGTAGGTTTAAATTCTATTCTGTGTCCCCATTACCCTGTATAGATTTGTTCTGCTAACTGATGTCATATAGTTACATAGTTAGTCTGCCAGAAAAACAAAAGTCCATCCAGTTCAACCATAAAAAAAAAACAAAAAAAACAAACGTTATAATCTTATACCCACAGTTGATCCAGAGGAAGGCAAAAAAAACCAGCAAAGCATGATCCAATTTGCTCCTGCAGGGAAAAACAAATTCCTTCCCGATTCCCCGAGAGGTAAATCAGATATTCCCTGGATCACCTTTACCTATAAATGCTTGTATCCAGCTATATTCTGTGTATCCAATCCAGGCCTTTTTTGAAGCAATCCACTGAGCTGGCCAGAACCAACTCTTGAGGGAGTCTATTCCATATTTTCACAGCTCTTACTGTGAAGAAACCTTTCCGTGTTTGGAGATTAAATTTATTTCCTCCATACGTGAAGAGTGCCCCCTTTTCCTTTGATGACCTCAGGGTGAATAGCTCTACAACAAGTTCACTATATGAAACCACTGATGTATTTATAAATGTTGATTGTATCCCTCCTTAACTATTCTTAAGAGAATAAATTCAGTTCCTCTAATCTTTCCTCATAGCTGATCTCCTCCATGCCTCGTATCAGTTTAGTTGCCCTTCTCTGTACTTTCTCAAGTTCCCCAATGTTCTTTTTGTGAATTGGTGCCCAAAACTGAACTGCATATTCCAGATGAGGTCTTACTAATGATTTGTACCGGGGTAATATGATATCTCTCTCTCTGGAGTCTATACCTCTTTTAATACAAGAGAGGATTTTGATCGCTTTAGAAACCGCAGCTTGGCATTGCATGCCATTATTAAGCTTGTGATCTACCAGAACTCCCAGATCCTTCTCCACCATTGATTCCCCAGTTGTACCCCCCTAGTATGTATGATGCATGCATATTCTTAGCCCCCAAGTGCATAACCTTACATTTATCTACATTAAACATCATTTGCCACATAGTTTCCCAATTACACAGTGCATTGAGGTCGGCTTGTAAGTTGAAGACATCCTGTAAGGACGTTATTCCATTACATAGCTTGGTGTCATCTGCAAAGACTGAAATGGGATTTTAACCCAGACCATATATCGTTTATAAATATATTAAAAAGTAAGGGTCCCAACACTGAACCTTGGGGTACACCACTGATGACCCCAGACCATTCAGAGTATGAATCATTAACCACTAATCTTTGAAGACGATCTTTTAGCCAGTTTTATATCCATTTACATACGGATTTTTCCAAGCCCGTAGACTTTAACTTACACATTAGCCGTGTGTGGGGAACCGTGCCAAACGCTTTTGAAAAATCCAAGTATACCACATCCACCGCCACCCCTCTGTCCAAGGTCTTGCTCACCCCCTCATAAAAAGAAATCAGATTTGTTTGGCAACTTCTGTCTTTCATGAATCCATGCTGTCTGTTGCTTAAAATATTTTTCCAGCAAGAACTCATCTATGTGGTCTTTTATTAAACTCTCAAATATCTTCCCAAGTATAGAAGTTAAACGAACAGGTCTATAATTACTTGGTAAAGATTTTGACCCCTTTTTAAATATTGGCACCACATTGGCCTTACACCAATCCAGTGGTACTATGCCAGTCATTAACGAGGCCCTAAAAATTAGAAACAATGGCTTTGAAATGACAGAGCTCTTCTTTAAGGACCCGTGGGTGTATGCCATTCAGTCTAGGTGCTTTATACACCTTTATACTGTCAAAATATTTTTGAATCATATCACCTGTGAGCCAATGTGGATCATCTGGAGCTGTGTCAATACCATGGCCATTATGGACAAGAGCTCCCCCATGCTCTTTTGTATACACAGAGCTGGAGAAGGTGTTTAATAAATTTGCCTTCTCTTTGTCCCCAGTCACCCATTCTAGATTATTTTGTAAAGGGCCTACATGCTCAGACCAGACCTTTTTACTATTAATATATTTGAAGAATGTTTTGGGGTTGGTCCTGCTATTTTTTGCAATCTGTCGTTCATTTTTGTGGCCTTTATTTCCTTTTTGCATATTCTGTTATATGCTTTGTAATGTTTAAACGATGATAGCGTTCCTTCATTTTTCTATTTAATAAAAGCTCTTTTCATATTATCTATAGCTTTTTTTTTTTTTTTTTTTTAACTTTGGCCGTAAGCCACATAGGTTTGATTTTTAGCCTTTTAAACTTGTTTCCCATGGGAATATATTTTGCAGTGTGTTCACATACAGTCTTTTGGAAGAACTCCCATATCTGTGTTGATCGATGCAAATATTCCCTACCAGTTTATAACTTGGAGAGCAGCTCTCAGCCTTGGAAAATTAGCTCTCTTGAAACTGAGCGTTTCTATTTTTCCCATATGTGCTCGCTGTTTACAGATACCAATAAATGAAATCATGTTATGGTCACTGCTACCCAGATGTGCTTTTATATGGACATTCGTAATAAGCTCTGCATGGTTTGAGATTACCAGGTCCAGCAGAGCATCATTCCTAGTAGGGGCTTTTATGAACTGTACCATAAAAATTGTCCTGTAGTAGGTTTAAAAATGTTTGCCCTTTAACTGTTCCTGCAGTACCATTACTCCAGTCAATTTCCGAGTAGTTAAAATCTCCCATTATTATCACTGTCCCAGCCCTTTTGATCTGTGCAAGGAGCTGAGTTTCCACCTCCTCATTAACACTGGGAGGCCTATAACAAACTCCAATGATTACTTATGTAGTAACACCCCCATGTGCAGTTCCACCCATAATACTTCAGCCTCATCACACTCTCCATCAACTAGGTCCTCTTTCACACTCACTCTGAGATCACTTCTCACATAGAGACAGACACCACCACCTTTCCTATTTACTCTGTCTCTCTGAAAGAGAACATAGCCAGGAATAGTAATGGCCCAGTCATGTGAAGAATGAAGCCAAGATTCAGCAATACCAATTAAATCATAGTTCTCTTCATACACCAAAACTTCCAACTCACCTTGGCAGACTTCTAGCATTAGTGAACAAACACTTTAATGCATTGACACCTTGTTCACACGTATTTTGCATATTTTTTATTTTCATAAAAATGGTACCAATTCCACTGGTTGTTTGTAACATGGGAACCTTCTTATCTGCCATAACCTTCCCCCATCTTTCCCCATTCCACCCAACAATAAGTACTGACCCCATGTCTGATCTGTCTACCCCATTATAATCTAATTCTCCCTCCCCCCTCGATCCTAGTTTAAATACTCTTCTAGCCTTCCCATAAACCTCTCCCCTAGCACAGCAGACCCCCTTGCATTTAGGTGCAAGCCATCTTTAGCATATAAGGTTGCACCCCAATGAAAAGTCAGCCCAGTGCTCTAGAAACCCAAATCCTTCCCTCTTACACCAGGTCTTCAGCCATGCATTGAGTTCTCTAATCTCCCCCTGTCTTTCCTGAGTTGCGCATGGCACAGGAAATATTACAGAAAATATCACCTTGGACGTCCTTTCCTTCAACGTGCATGTATTCTGTCATTGGTTCCAACATGGACCAAGACATCTAGGTCATGCCCAGCCCCTCCCAGCAATTTATCAACACGGTCCGCCACATGCTGAACCCTGGCACCAGGGAGACCGCAAACCATTTGGTTGAGGCGATCCTGGCAACAAATTATTCTATCAGTCCTTCTGATTATAGAATCCCCTACTACCACCAGCTGTCTAGGCCATCCTGCACTACTATCACCACCCCTCCCAGATGTCAGGGATAGCAGTGACATCCAGGGCTGCCACCCGAGCTTGCCACCCCCACATATTCACCCAACTTGGCAAATCTGTTTGGGTGCTAAAACCCAGGGCCAGCCTTCCTTTTATATGAGCCCCTACCACTCCCTCTCGTTACAGTAACCCATCCTCCTACCTGATAATCCTGATTAGCCCCTCTGCCCTCCACATCAATCCCATTAGCTACCTGCTCAGAGAGCAGAAGACCTCCTTTCAAGGTTGCCGGTTCTGTCCAGTGTTGCAACTTGCTCCTCCAGATCTCTAACGTGAGTTTCCAGAAGGGCAAGCCGCTCACATCTGTCACAGCGGTATCCATCCTGGAGCTGTTGCTCCATTGCTGCATACATGCAGCACACTGTGCACTGCACAATACCTTCAACCCTGCTAGCACACAATATCCCACTTACAATATTAACAGGAAATATCAGTTGCCACTTACAGGTTAGTAGACTCCTGCTAGAATCTCCTGTTTTCAACTCCGGTTTTTTAACTTCACTTATCAAAATGTCCATTTAGTCAAAGGTCCAGCAAGTACAATACAAGCAAGCTCAAAAATGAGTGAGCTCTACAGCAAGGTATATAGGACCTGTATCACCTGTGACCAATTAACCCCTCCCCTTAATTAGCAGACTGAAGGAAGACAAGGAAAGGAAGAAAAAAAATGCTATTTAAAAAAGTTACAGAAAAAGGGATTTAAAAAAGTAAAAGCTGTTAGCAAGACTCAAAGAAGAAAATAAAACTACAAGCACCAGCAGTCAAAAGTAAAAAACTTAAAAATTTCCCACTCTTTTTAGCTATTGGATTTTCCCCTAACTTGCAGTTTTGGTGGTAACTGCCTTGGAGAGATTTCTTTGAACTTTCTGCTGTGTTTGCAAAACAAAATTCAAGAAAAAAAAAAAAAAAAAAACCTGACAAGTTTTAACCCTTTGCTACACTATTCAAAATGATAAAACAAGATTTATGTATTTACCATAGGGACACAGGAATTCAGAAGCCATTCATACTGCCCACCTAT